GTTATTTTTTCCTTTTCTTATTTTAATTCAAGTTGGTTGCTGTCCTGCTAACATTGCATTGGCCAGTATACAAAAAAAAAAAGGAAAAAAACCTCCATTTAACTGCACAGAACCATATGCATGCATGTTTTATTTATTTATACTCTCAATAAACGTTCTCTTGGTTTCTCCCATGCATCTTTTCTAGTATCATTTGGATCAATGCCTGCCGGTGCCGGGCCACACCACACGGCACCTAGAGCCATGTAAAGTCGTCTGAATGTCTGATTCGCAGAGCCAAGGGCAAACCAGTATGTGTATTGAGCAACTGAAGAATGCAGGCAGAGCCCAGAGCCTTCACCACACCAGTAGCAACAACTGCACTAGCACTACACAGCATTCTTGGGATGCATGTACCATCAGATTAATCTATTTTTACTGTGGCCGTCGTACGTCCTTGACTTGGGAATGCACAAACCCATTTAAGGCGCACATGACTACATGAGGACAACGACAGTGGACAACTACATGACGACCGAACTTGGCCTCCTGCTTATCTTCTCGAGTTTGATTCCGCTTATATAAACAACAAAGTGTCACGGAATGAAGCACGATCTCTCCATTAATTTGACTGCAGATCGAGCCTGCCTCAGGCTCATCGAGAGATGAGCTTTATTTCATCAGCAACTGCAACTAAACTCTTTGGTTGGGCTTAAAGCCGCAGCTTCGGCTTTATCTCTGCATTAACACCGTTTATAATACTGTGTTCAGTGTGTTCTTATGAGGTTTTTTCTCTCCTTTCCCCTCAACTGAATTACAAGCTTTTTCACCTGACTGATGCCGTAGCAGTAAGTTGAAGCCGTTTGAACCGCTGTCAAAGAGGGCCTAATTAAACTAACCATATCTTTTACAATGAAGATACGATAATATTTGTGCAGATACGATAACCAAGGCACAAAAATATTTTAAAACCGTATTTTTTACAATGCTGAACATACCGTATATTTTTTGTTACTACCAGGGCAGTTTTTGATTAATACTAGCAGAGTACTACGTACTTCGACTCAAAATTATTAGTGCCATGGCAGATTAATACTGCTGTACCACAGTACGTACTTAATTTGACTCAAAACTAAAACGACCGAGAGGAAATTTGATAAGAAGGAGATGTATGCAATCATGCAACCTTTTTTTGAAGTCTGCATGCATGCAGTGCAACAACAGGCAGGCGGAGCTTAAAATAGCATATCCTGAGCGAAAGAAATGAGCTCGCGGTCGTACGGCCGGCGACCAGATTCATTCGGCCACTTCCTTCCGACAAAACAATTAGGCGTCGCGCATGGCCGTACAGTTTTTTTGGCCTCTTTTTTGTTTTTTTTCCTTCTCCTTCTTCATAAACAACGTTATATCACATACATATATGTGTGCCCTAATTACGGCCGCTGCGGTTTAGTTTCATTATCTCGATCGTGCGACATAATTTTTGCGTGCGTTTGTTGGCTTATTATTACTCTTACCAATGCAAGGTCATTGCTCGAAATGGTACGTGCTTCGAATTTTTCACGTACACATGTGTGTGTGCCTCCCTAATCCTACCTACAATAATGATGCTACTTAAGCCTCAATACTCCCAGTTGCTTGGCAAGAGTACGTCCAAGCATCCGGCCTAGTGTTCATTCATGTAACTGTTCATATTCATCGTACGTTCATCCATGAATTTTGCTTATACTTTTGTTTATTTATTTATAAATGTATTGTGCATTGTTATGCATGAAAGTAGGTAATCACGTACGTTCCACCGGCCCGGCAAGCTTTTCTCATCCATCGTCAATGTGGCTGCTGATGGAGCACGTACATGCAATGCATGCATGCATGCTGTTCTTTCTCTCATGTTCATGGCCACGTACTCCCCGGAATCTCATGCAAACTACATTGGCGTACGAGTTACGATATATAGATTTGAACGCGCGCATGCATTCCATTTCCGATCCAACACCCGCACTACGGCTGTCTCGCGCCTGCGGTAGACGATCGGTGGTGCATCAGCCATGCACGGAACATATTGCTTGCATTGGGCGTGTTTGGTCAATAACTTTCGTTTCCGTATCATTTCGTCCCTAATTTATAAGGTGCATATGGCCAAAATAAGTAGTAGTGTGTTTTTCCAGCTCATTTTCAACTACACTTCTCCTCACAACACCCATTTATTTATACTAAAAAACAAAAGTCAGGTCAGATCAGCTTATTTTGATCGTGATTTTCTTTCATCTAAACGTTTATCCAAAAAGTTGTACCAAACAGAGTCTATGGCCCTGTTTGGTACTCCCTCCGGTTCTCTAAAGCAAGTCGTTTTGAACATCGACACGGTCTTTAAGAAACGACTTTGACTATAACTTTTTGCTATAAAATATTTATAAAATATAGTCAATATATAATTTTATGAAACTATATTTTGAGATGAATCTACTTACGTCACTTTCATATTTTCAAACTCAACCCAAAAGAAGTTATTTGTAGTCAAAGTTTAAAATGTTTGACTTAAGACAACCTTAAAACGACTTGCTTTAGAGAACCGGAGGGAGTACAGCTTATCTGGGAAGCGCTTCCTAGATAAGCTGCACAAATAGAGTAAAGTGGCGGTCAAAATAAGCTTGGTCTGATCCAGCTTCTGTTTTTTAGTATAAATGGGAGCTGTGAGAATAAACGTGGTCAGAATAAGCTGCTGAAAAGCGTGTCGTTTGGCTGTTGATTTCAGCTTATTTTGGCCATAAGAAGCTTATAAATTGTACCAAACGGGCCCTATATTAGATCAATTTAAGCCGCTGGGGTTTGATTCACAACAAATAATTACTAGAGCAATTAGTGATGTCATTAGACACGCGTGTGCTAATTGTGATTAGTAATAACAGTTGGGGCTTTCGGTAACTCCCTAATAGGCATCATTTTTCTCCCTTAACAATACATGTAACACACCCCTTCAAGGAGTATAAAAACGTAGTCAATTTTCACTGTTGCAATCAATCAATCGTTCAATCTTTACATAAATTAAATCGGTTTACAACTTTTTTCCTCAAGACGTTATCAACACGCTCGTTACTTACTTCTTCTCTAGAAAGACAAAGGGGGAGGCCGTCGGGCCTCCTGCACCCCATGTTTTTTAACGGGGTGAATCCAACGGGAGGAAGAATTTTGCCAAGTGGATAGTAGCACCACAAATTCCGTATTTAGGGAAATGAAATATTTCTAACTTTTGCTAAGGCCAATTGAGTTGTCTTAAAACGCTGGACGTGATGCAATGATAGTAGACATGGGTCGTGGTACTGTTACTCTTCCTATGGTACATAAATTATAATTAATTGAGGGTGTGTTACTTTATTCCGATTGAACTCATACCTTACTAGGTTATATAGATATCCGGAAAAATGGGTCTCATGTCTAGACAGATGAAGGTAACAAAGAAGAATACCTTCTTGTTACGAGAAAATTCTAGATATGGCAAACAAATTCTTGAAAGGATTCCATCTTTCTCATATGGGTTTGTATTACACTCATATGAAAAACTCACTACACATGTTGTGTACAAACTAATTTCCCAAAATGTTGACACGTGTTCCAGATTTGGCATGATCGTCTAGGACATCCTGGTTGAGAAGACGACGCAAAAATTGGTCATAATTTAAAATATCCCTACGATATATCTTTGGATTTTGGTTGCACCCCATGTCCAAGAGGAAAATGAATCTTAATGCTAGAACTGAACCTCTCAAACTCCTTGAATGCATTCAAGAAAACATACGTAGTCCTATACAGTCATTATGTGGACCATTCAGATGTTTTATAGTTTTGATTAATACCATGCGCCACGCAGTGAATTGAATAAACATACGTGTTCAAACGTAGTACGCCGGTGGCGTACGTTGCGTCGTCGTCGTGCAGCATTCATGCATTTTAAATGCACGTACGTACCGATGAGCTCGCACAGGCACAGCAGCAGCAAGAAGTCGTCGTCCTCGATGTTCTGCTCTTGAGACGGGTACGTGCATGCATGCATCAGCCTTTGGATCTGGAATGGGATACATACGCGGCAGCGTGCGGCACCGGCGCGGCAGCGCTCGCCCAGAACGTACGAGAGTAAAGTGAACGGCACGTACTCACCGGCCGATCCGTCCAGATCTCTCTCGTCGTCCGTCCTCGGCCATTCATGGCGCACTCGCTCCTCGTCGACGGAGTACTCGGTCGACGGAGTACAGTGACAGTACGGCAGGACGCGTACGTGTCGTGCAGATTTGGAGTGGATTCGGTCGTCACCACTGTCTCCGGCGATACACACGGAGTAGTACATGCATAGTGACAGTGACACCACCATTAATGGAGGGGGCATTTAGTTTTTTTACCACTACACCGTAGCACGGTGAAGCAAGAATCTGTCACGGCCCATGACACGAACCCGTGCAAGTCAGCAGCAGCACATGGGCCTGGGCCGGCTTCGGAAGAGGAGGCAACAGCGCAGGGGCCTGGGCCACACCTGAGGCGCTCCAGCAGAGCAAAGGCGCCGAGCACGCGCACCAGCGGAGATGAGTGGGCATCGGCGTGAAGCGGTGATCTGGGTTACGGATCGGATATATGTGTAATAGGAAGAGGAGAGGGGGAGGGGAAATAGTATCCAACAACTTGTTCCTACCGTCCTCCTCTGAACCTTCCTCCTTGCTTTGCTTTCCCTTTGCCCTTCCAATCAACTGCTACTTGCCCCAATCTGGAGAACTCGTTTGTTCTTAACAAATTGGTATTTAGAGCCCTCGATTCTCGGCCGATTTTTGTTTTCCTCCGCCTTGATCTGGGATCGTAACCCCCGACGGCTGGTTGATCGTCCTCGGTGCTGCGGCAGCGAGTGATGAACCCGTAGGTCCGTGCCGAGGCTGATCTGATCGGTGTAGGAGTCAATCGCCGGAAATCGATTCGCCCTGGAGCCCCACCAAATCGACCACAACCATTTCACCCGATTCCGCAAGCAGCTCGGGGCCATGGATCTCAACACCAAACTCATTCTCGATGAGCTCAAGTCTGTCCAAACCAACCTCACAAATCGCATCGATGCGGTCGAGCACTCCATCGGTGCCCGCGTCGGTTCCCTGGAGGACGCCGCGAAAGTACTCGACGCCTGGAAGCCGACGATGGACGCCTCTGTGGCGGAACTGCGCGCGGAGATTAGAGCCTTCAGGAAGACGGAGGAGAGGGTGGAGTTGCTGCGGGAGGAGATGACTGCGCTGCGCAAGTCGGTGAGCCGCTCCGTCCTCGATGCCACGCAGGCCACGCCGACCGGCGTGCTGCAGCGTCCCAAGGAGTCTCCGGCGTGGATTCCCGCTGGCTGGACTCATTTCCGCCCGTTAGGGCCCCGCGAGGAATCAAGCCACCGGGGATTTGAGTCTTACGCTCAATTCCCGGTCAAGGGTACGTTCATATCGCCTGATCCGGATTCCAAACCCAAGCTGTATCGATCTTATTCGAGTTCGGCTCTCGTTGCGGGCACTCAGGGCGGTTCGGGAGGGGTCCATGGGTCTCTGGATCATCGTGGTCATGAGGATGGGGATGGGGGCCATTTTCATCTACCTAAAATCAATTTTCCTCCATTTGATGGTTCCAACCCAAAATTGTGGCTCGGGCGTTGCTTAGATTATTTTGAGATGTACTTTGTTCCACGCCGCCGCTGGGTCAAGGTGGCCACCATGCACCTGTCTGGGGCCACGGCGTGTTGGTTGCAATCGGTGGAGGAGCAGGTTCGCTCAGGGGGAGGGGAGCAGTTTCAGGAGCTGGTCATGAACCGCTTTGGTAAAGATCAGCATGAACTGCTAGTTCGTCAACTCTTTCACATCCACCAGTCAGCCACAGTCCAAGACTATATTGACAAATTTACTGGGTTGGTCGATCGGTTACTTGCTTATGGCCGTAATACCGATCCAATTTACTATGCTATGCGTTTTGTCGATGGCTTGCGTGTCGACATTCGTGCTGCTGTTCATATGCAACGTCCCCAGAATTTGGATACTGCTTGTGTCCTTGCTCTGTTGCAGGAGGAATTGGTGGATCCTGTGCGTACAAAGGAGCTTCGGTGCCCGGCACCATTTACCTTTGCAAAGGCTCCAGTGCGCGGTCCACCTCTGGCCTTTGAATCCGAACCGTTTGGACCGTCAAGATAGGCCCGTGCCACCACATCAGCCTCCAGAGCGTCGTGCTCGTGGTATGGATGACAAGCTCTCCACGTTGCGTGATTATCGGCGCGCTCGTGGTCTCTGTTTCCGGTGTGGTGAGAAATGGGCCCGTGATCATTCTTTGTCGAAGCCATTCGATTGCATGCATTGCAAGAGCTGTGGAGGTCTGCATTTTCTCCGGGGGACGGTCGGGAGGATGGTTATGATGCTTGCTTGGAAGTCAAACCGAGGAAGCTCAAGTGTGTATGGCTATATCTATGGCTGCTTACGGTGGTCCACCTTACATCACATCTATTGATTGGGGGACACATTGAGGTCATCCAGTTCGCAGATCCTCATTGATTACGGCAGTTCACACACCTTTGTCGGTCTTTGTTTTGTTGGCACCGATTGCAAGGTCATCGGTGCTTTCACCTCCACTCAAGGTCATGGTGGTGATGGTTCCCATTGCTTTGCTCCAATCAATTTGAGAATCTGGTTTGGGTATTCGGTCTCATGATTTTGTCTCTAATGCTAAGGTGTTGCCGCTCTCTTCCTATGACCTCATTGTTGGTATGGATTGGTTGGCTTCCTATAGTCCCATGCACATTGATTGGCAACACAAGTGGCTGCGTATTACACAAGGTCAACAAGCAGAGTGCTTCTTCTTGAGGTTCTCTTTCAGCTCTGCCGCCTTGAGTTCGGTGGTGCAGTCTCCATGAGATTATCAGATGATTTAGTTCTTCGATCGGGAGCAAGCGGTACCACCGGAGGTCTCAAAGACTCTTAGCTGAATTTTAGTCGATCTTTGCTCCTCCTTGAGTTATCCTCCAGCCCGTGATTGTGATCATTCCATCCCTCTCATTGTCGGGAGCCGGTCCATTCTCGGCCCGTCCGTATATCGCTACCCTCCAAATTTATCAAGGATGAGATCGAGCGATGATTTCGAGAGATGCCGCGATCGGCACCATTCAACATGATATGATCCCTTTTTTCTTCATCGTTGTTGTTAGTCAAGAAAAAGGATGGCACCTTCCGCTTTTTTTGCGTTGATTTCCGACAGTTGAATGCCCTAACTGTCAAAGCTAAGTATCCGGTACCGGTTATTGAGGAGCTACTGGATGAGTTGACTCATGCTTCTTGGTTTTCTTGTCTGGATCTCACTGCTGGATACCACCAGATCCGTTTGAAATATGTGAGGAATTTAAGACGGCCTTTCAAACTCATTCGGGCCATTACGAATTTCGAGTTATGGCCTTCAGTCTTCTTCTTGGAGCTCGGCTACTTTTCTGAAAGCAATGAATACCACTCTTCGGTCACTTTTGCGCAAGTGCGTGTTGGTGTTCTTTGATGATATCCTCATTTTTAGTCGTACTTATGAAGAACATCTGGAGCACATTCGTCAGGTGCTCGAATTACTGCAATGTGATCAGTGGCAGGTCAAGATGTCCAAATGTCGCTTTGCTCAGCGCCAGTTACGTTATCTTGGTCATATCATTTCGGCTGAAGGTGTTGCCACTGATCCGGAGAAGATTCAAGTAGTGCTCAAATGGCCGTCTCCCCAGACAGGTGAAGCTACTTGCGCTTTTTTTTGGGTCTTGCCGGATATTACAGCGTTTTGTCCGGGAATTTCGGCATTATTTCGCGTCCTTTGACCGAAATTCGTTACGTAAGAGAGCCATTTTTATGCGGACAGAGTTGCGAGGAGCGAGCTTTCGGCTCTCAAGCGTGCACTTACCTCGGCTCTCGTGATTGGCCTTCCGGACTTGATAAGCAATTTTCTGTTGAAACGGATGCCGATGAAACTGGTATTGGCGCGATCCTCATGCAGGTGGTCATCCATTGGCCTATTTGAGCGAGCTTTGGGCCCTCGTTCAAGGGTTTGTCCACTTACGAAAAGGAATATATGGCCATTCGATGGCATTGGAGCGATGTACGATTACGCAACATCTTTGAGTTCAGATACTTACTGATCAAGTCTTGTGCAACTCACCGAGCAACGCTTGCATACTCCGTGGCAACAGAAGGTGTTTGCTAAATTGGTTGGCCTTCAGTACAAGATTGTCTATCGCAAAGGTGTTGACAATGGCGTGGCGACGCTTTTGTCTCGTGTTCCCTACGGTCGATTGGCTGCGGTTTGATATGTCAACCGCAGTGGCTTCTATGGACGTGCTTTCCTCATATGCAGGATGTCCGTGCTCAAGAACTCCTTACTAAGCTCTCCATTACACACGATGGAGTGCCGGGTTTCACTTTGCGAGGATGGTTCTTGTGTTATCACAATCGAGTTTGGGTGGGTCACCACAAGGATCTGCAAGCTAAATTGATGGCGTTAGATTGCATTCCACGCCGATTGGGGCCATTCGGTGTCATTTGTTACTTTATCGCCGTCTCAAGCAACTCTTTGCTTGGCAAGGAATGAAAGCAACTGTCCAGGCTTTTGTGGCGGCTTGCACTGTATGTCAACAGGCCAAACCGGACCGAGCCAAACTTCCTGGTCTGTTGCAACCTCTTCCGGTGCCTGAGGGTGCTTGGTCGGTCATCTCTATGGACTTTATCGAAGGACTACCTTCTTCCGACGGCTTCAACTGCATTTTAGTGGTGGTTGATTTGTTCTCCAAGTACTCTCATTTTCTAGCCCTCAAGCATCCATTTACTGCTGCTTCGGTTGCTCAGCTATTTCTTTCGCAAGTGTATAAACTGCATGGTCTTCCCCAAGCCATCATCTCAGATCGGGATAAGATCTTTACTAGCAACTTTTGGCGCGAGTTATTCAAATTGGCTGGTGTGGAGTTGCGCATGAGTACGGCGTACCACCCACAGTCCGATGGTCAGACTGAGCGGGTGAATCAGTGTCTTTAAACATTTCTCCGCTGTTTCACTCATGCCTGTCCTCGCACTTGGCGGCAGTGGCTAGACCAAGCAGAGTTTTGGTATAATACAAATTGGCATTACGCTCTCGGCGCTCACCATTCAAGTTTTGTATGGTTATGTTCCGAGCACTTTGGTCTTCTTTGTGCTCGGAGGTTCCAGTGGTTGATTTGGCTACAGGTGGTCGACAGAGATCTTATCTTTGGATGTCATTCGGCAAAGCATCTTCACTGCGTGCCAAGCAACGCATGAAGAAGTATGTTTGATCAACATCGTTCGAAAGCGCCACTTTGAGGTAAATGATTGGGTGTTTGTGAAGCTTCCACCATATATTCAATCTTCATTGGGTGTTGGCCAATCAGAAGTTAGCCTTCAAATACTTTGGACCATACCGGGTGGTTGCTCGGGTGGGAACCATGGCTTATCGATTGGAGTTGTTGCGGCCTCTTCATCTCATGCATCCGGTCTTTCATGTGTCACAGATTGAAGAAGTCCGTCATTGACTGCAAGACATCATCACAGCTCACCCTCCTTGGTGATGTGATGTGGCGAGTATCCTGAACGGATCTTGCAAATCCGGTCGGTGCTCAAAGAATCGTGTTCCATCTCTCAAGGACCGATCAAGTGGTCTCATTTGCCGATTAATGTCGTTAGCTACTTGGGAGAATTTGGATCATCTCCGTGAAGAAAGGCCGTAAATGCTCGAGCCGGCTTGCGCGCGCAAGGGGAGAGGATGTCACGCCCATGACACGAAACCGTGCAAGTCGTGAAGCAGACACATGGGCTGGGCGGCTTCGGAAGAGAAGGCAACAGTAGCAGGGGCTCGGGCCACACACCGAGGCGCTCCAAAGAGAGCAAAGGCGCCGAGAACACGCGCACCAGCGGAGAATGAGTGGGCATCGGCGTGAAGCGGTGATCTGGGTTACGGATCGGATATATGTGTAATAGGAAGAGGAGAGGGGAAGGGGAAATAGTATCCAACAACTTATTCCTACCGTCCTCGTCTGAACCTTCCTCCTTGCTTTGCTTTCCCTTTGCCCTTCCAATCAACTGCTACTTGCCCCAATCTGGAGAACTCGTTTGTTCTTAACAGAATCTGAAGGCTACTACTGGCCTCCAGCCTCTCATCGTCGTCGTCGTCAACAATGCATGCAAGAACATGCATGCGATGCGTATCGTATCTCAGATTCTTAGCTGCCGGCACACGCAGGCAGCTCCATGCATGGTCGCCGGCCTCGTCAGCTCGATCCAACCGTGCTGTGCTGGAATTGAACGGAGCCACGCACTGGCGACCAATCGCTGCTGTTGCTGCCTGCAACGTAGTACTACGTAGTACTGTACAATTTAATCCGCGACATGCGGGCGCTGTATGTCCGTGGACCACACCGACAGACGGGTCGACTCCCCGGCGGCTGACCGCCGCGCCGGGCCCCGCGGTCTCCCGTTCCCCGGAAAGCCGGAACCTTTCTCTCACACTAGCCAGTGGCCACTGCGGCCACCATGCGATTATTATTAATTAATGCCCGTTGGACCGGAGCACGCCGGGTCGCCGGCATCGCCGCCGGTGTTCGCTCGAGCTTATCAACGAGTCTTACTTTTTTAAGTTATGAACCGTGTTTTTCTCTTGCACCAAATCAATCCTACTATGTCCCGGTTTTCCTTTTGCCCAGCAGGCAGTAGCACCGCTCCAGCAGCCTGGTCACCACTGCATTGGCCGCCGGCTCGCCGCGGCGCACGCAGCTCATGCTTGCGTGTCCTCCATCACTTTGCGCTGCTACTGCTCGCTAGTAGTATACTGCTTGCAACAAATCATGCACACGCACTCAATCATACACAAAACAGTTGCCCAGCAGCAAGATGTATGGTCGACTATATCAATACCAAGGAACCAACAAATGTTTGACACCTACGAAAATATCCCGATGATAAGCTCATAATTTGCCCTTTCAATACCCCTTTGCCTTCGTTCGACCATGTGAGGAAGAAGGAACGAAAAAACACGCACACGCAACGCAACAGAGGGCATCTTCCAGGATACATGCATGCAGACAACTAAACCCCTCCCTTAGGCAGCGTTAGTCAGCTTGACACAAAAACATTGCCATCCTCCAAGTGGGGGCATTTTTCTTTGCGTTTCC